GTTAAAATGGATTTTAAAGAGAAAGGGAGGGGTCAGTGAAGAGCACCGGAGTTGAGCTTTTTGTCGTCCAGTGTCTTCAGTAGAAAGAGAGAGACAAAAAGAAACGATAAAGCCGATAAATGAAAATGAGGTTGATAATTTTCATTCATCATGCGATTAATTGGTTTATTGTTTATCGCGACAGGCCTAATCAACAGTAAGGTATAATCATGAGAAAAAGCCAAAACCCTCTTTAGTTAGGCAAGCAAAAGATTAACACACACCTGGTTAAATTACCTCATGTTGCAACCACCTGAGAAATTATCAATTTGTGACCAAAGAAACCCCTTTGTGGTTGAACCCTCCTTCGAGATTGAACGGAAGGCAGGAAGCAGCAAGATTGTACATATTGGTCGACAGAAACTATATGAGACTACTTTCTTACTTTAGCCACAGAGTTAGGTTTCTTCTTGCCCCAAGTGCCAATATGAAATGAGGTTTGAATGTTGCTGCCTTTAATGTCCTCCTGAGTGTGAGTCTAAAGACATACATTTCATTTGAAAGGGGGAAACTTGTACACATTTGTGTTTTTTTTCTTATTATAAGTGGCTACAGTCAAACTACCATAGTATTGTCTACTGTACTATGTTGGCACAAGTAATGTAGCATGACTCAGCTGTATTTCCAGTAGGGGCATAGGTTAGTCATGTTTGAGCACAAGAACATACAAAACCAGTTTACTGATCTGAGCATTGAAAAATAAACAAAGAACCAAGATAAAGCATGCATTCATCTATTCTACATTCTACCTTCATTGATTAGCCATAACATTATGACCATCTGTGGAGAAAAATGGTTAATTCTGAAGGTTTCAGGAAGCGACAAAATCCACATTGCGATGACTAAACATATGGATCTTAGTATCTCAACAACTGAGGGTTTTGTGGAGTATTTCTGTTCTGCAGCGATCAGCAATGACCAAAAATGATCAGAGGAAGGAAAACTGGTGATCTGCTGAGTCGAAAGTAGTCAAGGCTCACTGGTACATGAAGCAAAGGCTCAAATTGATGAAAACAGTTCAGAGTGAGAGGCGTCAGAATACACAGAGAATGGCAGCTTTGTTATAGCTGCAAAACTACGGGCTTGACCAGTGGATTATATTTTTCTTATGCAGCACAAGGAAGGTCAGGTTTGTGCGGATCGTTCACCTGAGGGAAGACATAGCAGCAGGAGGTTCTAAGAAATAAAAAAAGTCAGTCCAGTGGAAGCCATGTTCTGCTGGAAAACCTTGGATCCTGCCAATTATACGTTTGTTGCTATGACAAATACAATTAAGTTAAAAAGTGTTGACCCCACCCCTTCAAGGTATCAGCATTCCTTAATGGCAGTGGCTTTTGCCAGAAGGATAACGGGCCCCACAATAGTAAAAAAAAAAATATATATAAAGAATTAAGATCAGTTTTAAGTGAAACAACCACATATTTGTGGAAATTATTAGGACTGAGCTTTCAAGACCGTAGACTGATTGAGCAACTGTGCTGGACACACAAACGAAGGACACTGCATCTTATACAAGGGTGGGTCATAATGTTATGGCTAGTAAGTGTATTTTTTATAAGCAGTTTATTATGTTCATAATACATTTAAAACACAGTTTACAAGGGCTTGTTTTTCTTCTATATGCTATTTACAGCATTTTTTGGGCAGGCTAAATCTAATTTTATATATGTTGATGTTAAAATATAATGTTGGCGTTTTCTCGTAAATTAAAGGGATATATTTGTTTTAGCAAATGAAACAGAATTTTAGGATTTTTCCACTAATTTTATTTATTATTGTACAACTGTCAGCATATACAACTTTTTTCTGTAACCAATTTCTGACTCTGTTTTAAAAACAAAACCAAGTAGAACTACCCAACTCATTCAGGCACACTAATGGGAGTTCAACTAGAAGTGAAGGGTATTCATGAAAAACTGACATGAAAGTGGTGCTAACTTTAGAACTGCACTGTCACTGCAGGTAACTCTGTTGAGTTATAAACGCTGCCTAAATATCTACACTATAAATAAAGGATGAATGAATGAATCTGTGTGTAAACAAGATAAAGACAATAACATGCAGGTAAGACTTGTCTGCCTTACCTTCTTAATGTCCTCAATACATTTAATGATGTAACTACGTTTCACAGCCTCCTTGACAGCATAGGCGTCGCTCAAAATCCCCAGGTGTTCCTCCAGCGCCTGCTGAACGAGGCTGGTTGGCAGTGTGGGGAGGTGGGCCAGCTCCCAAAGCACCTCCAGCACCTAAGCAGGCACACAAAAACACAAGATGCTCTAGAATTAGAGAAGCACTTTCAGAATTAAACCTGAAATGGTTACTTGAAGGAGATGATTGCTTTTCTATGTTAAGATGCCAGAGAATTTGCTATATGTAGAAAAAACAGAATTCAGATGGTAATGAAACAACTAGAAAGTTCCTGGAGAAACTATGAGGGGGACAGCCACGTCGCAGCCATGTTAAATTTTTGATTTGACAGTACTGTGTGTTGGGGTACACTCTCAGCCACCAACACAATAAAACTGGTTCATGCATTCGTCACGTCTAGACTGGACTATTGCAATGGTTTGTTATCTGGGTGTCTAAATACTGCTTGAAAAAGTCTTCAGCTAATCCAAAATGCTGCAGCCAGAGTCTTAACTGGAGTTAGTAGGAGAGATTATATCTCTCCAGTTTTAGCTTCTCTCCATTGGCTCCCTGTCAAATTCAGAATAGAATTCAAAATCCTACTTCTAACCTACAAAGCTCTCAACATCCTAGCTCCATCTTATATTACAGATCTTATTGCTCTATACTTTCCTAACAGAGCACTTCACTCTCAGACTGCAGGCTTACTTGTGGTTCCTAGAGTTTCCAAAAGCAGAATGGGAGGAAGATCTTTCAGTTCTCAGGTTCCTCTCTTGTGGATCCAACTTCCAGTTTCTGTCCATGAGGCTGACACATTGTCCAGTTTTAAGACTGGACGTAAGATTTTCCTTTTTGATAAATCTTAGTTAGGGTTTGCTTGCTATGCTGCTATAGGCTTAGACTACTACTTTGATATTATTTCTAACTTAACTTGTGATTCTCGACCTGCCATTGTGTTTCAGTTCAGTTGATTTATATAGCGCCAAATCACAAAAAAATTGTCTCAGGGCACTTTACAGGAACATTCACAAACATAAAAGCCAATTAGTAAAGTTCTCTATCTAAGGAATCCAGCAGACAAGATGAATCTTGGCTTCGTTGCAGTCTTCCATCCTGAGCAAGCACAGTGGCAACAGTGGAAAGGAAAAACTCCCTTTTAAAAGGAAGAAACCTCCAGCAGAACCAGGCTCAGGACAAGCGGCCATCTGCTTTGACCAGCTGGTTTAAGAGGATAGCATCTGTTCCTCCTTCCTGTTCCTCTCAAACCAGCCGGTCGAAGCAGATGACTGCTTGTCCTGAGCCTGGTTCTGCTGGAGGTTTCTTCCTCATGAGGGAGTTTTTCCTTTCCACTGTCGCCTTCATGCTTGCTCAAGATGAGAGTTCTGTGATGGAGTTAAACTCAAAGCAGTCTGCTCCTCAGATTAAACAGTGTTCTTATTTTTTATGTACCAGTATATGTAAATGTTTCTGTTCACTGCCCTGAGATGACTTCTGTTATGACTTGGCACTATATAAATAAACTGAACTGAATTGAATACACTAAATTTCAGCTCAATATGTGTAAAAATAGCTGCGTTAAAGCCATTTAAATGTAGTTTTTGTAGCCATATTGGATGTTTTATTTGAATTCAGTCTTTAATGGGCATTGCTCTCAGCTACCAACGCAATAAATTTCAGTTTAATATCTCTAAAAATGACTGATTTATAGCACTTTTCCTTTTTAGCTCAGGCAGCCATCTTGGAGTTTTGAGTTGCAATCAGATTAGGGATTGTTTTCAGCCAAATTTCAGCTAAAAAATTCTAAAAACAGCTGAGTTATATCTATTTGAAATTAGCTTTGGTGGCCATCTTGCATTTTTAGATTTGGATTCAGATTATGTTGTGCATCGCTGTCATGTACCACCACACCAAATTTCAGCTCAATATATTTTAAAATAGCTGAGTTTTTGTGTTTGTCCCCCTTTTAGCTAAGGTGGCCATCTTGGATTTTTAATTTGCATTAGGAATGTACAACAATTCGCTTTCGAAATGCCAGTAAAAGTAATAGCACACTTCACAGTGTCGAGCTGGTCGTTTTGATGTAACATTTGTGGGGGTTCACATTGCGGTTCAAGCCGCATTAAAGTTAATCGAAGAGTTAAGACCCTTTTCAGGTGGATAATAACAGGTGGCTGCCTTCAGGCAGTCCCCAACAAATAAACCCAACAAACCTTTCCTGTTGTAGTTTCAGAGCGAGCTTCCCGGCCTATTCTCCCAATCAGACTGAGCAGCTTTTGCCTAACACGATCACTCTCCACTTCCCAGCTCTGAAAAAAAAAATAAAAAACTTCATCAAAATGCACATTTAAAGAACACTTCTCGGTTTCAAACGTCTAATCGATCAAAATGTCACCTTTTGAATCAGAACGAAGAGGTGGGTTAGCTGGTCAAAGTTGAATTTCACAGCAGCAGCAGCAATAATTGTATGAATGTTTTCTATCACAGTTGATGATTGGCCCGCCTGAAAAGCCCACACAAAAATCAATACACCCACTCGTGGCAGGGCTCCTAGTACAATTGTACCATTTATCATATTTTCAGACAAACTTATTAATCATTTTGTTTTTACTTGTATTTTCCAGATCTTGGTGAGTTCATCCAATGAGAGTTTACTCCCAAGAAGTTCAATGATTCCCTTAATCCTTTCACAGTACTGCGCTTGATCAATGTTACCTGAAACACAAAGTATTTTAGGCACCATGCATGATCAAACCTAAACCAAAATAAATTTACTGCTTTGTGCTAATTTCAGATTTATGACAGAAGTGACATGCTATCTGTTAGCTGGGCACCTTATAGTTTGTAAAGGTCAAGCAGAAACAGTCTGTATAATGTCTTACCTTCTAGCGCTATTGACAGAACTGAATTCTCCACAAGCCAGTCGAGCAGTTTATCCGTGTCAATGGCGTTCTTCACAGTTTTTGACACGGTGCTCTCTTCTATTAGCTTTGTCACCTGCCGGAAATGGACATATTAAAAACAAAGTGACACAACGCCTCAATAAAAACAACACAGGACACCTCAGAAACCACAAATCTGACCTCTTTCAGGGAGTTCATCTTGGTGGAGAAGTGAGGGGTTTTGAGCATTCGCAGCAGCGTGTCTAGCCGCAGGTCATCTACAACAGTGACCAATTCCCTCTGGAACCTCATGCACAGCAGCTTGATGGCCGACAGCAGGTCTGGGATACTCACTAGACGCTGGAGGTGAAGGACAATTCACTAATTTATAACATCTTTGTGTCACAACTACTCTAACTTATTACAACATGACCCACATTTATGGTCCTTGTCATTGTTTATTGTCACTGTAGTTTTCCTGAAAGAGTCTGCAAATAAAGCTTTTGGTTTCATTTGTCTCTTGAGCAGTCCGAGTTACTCATCAAGTAGTCTTTTATTGCTTTGGCATCCCTGCGCATGTAGCCATTTTAACTGTACCTTCTGACCAGTCATGTGACTTTATTACTCAAAACACTCAAAGAGAGATAAACCGAAGCCCTACCTTATCTTTAAGGTCCTTTTCCTCTAGGTTCTGCACATATGTGATGGTCTTGTGTATGACCGGATCGAGCATGGGCTTGAGAAGAAAAACAAACAACAACAACATAAAACTTTGGTAATTTATGTTGGGAAAAAGGCCACTGGAGTAGCAAAAGTTGTAAGAATACACCAAATTAAAATAGAACAGAAAGCAGAATGGGGGATAAGGGTCATGTTAAGAAACAGCTGATTGTTCTAACTTCTGAACAAAACTGAATGGAAAAGCTAAATTAACTTGCAGGCACAAAAACACATTAGAGATTACCAAACTTAAAAAAAGCAAAAACATAATAAGACTCAAAACTCAAGAGCTAAAGCTACTGATGTACCGATGTCTATCTTTGTATGATTGTCTTGTCTTGCCATGTAAACTCAGGTAATTCTTTTAGGTCACATTTACTGTTTGCCTCAAATGTTAAAGTTAAAGTTGGTTTTAGGAAAAGCACCGAGTGTCCTTAATGTAAAATCACTAGTGTGACTGCGGGCTTACCTGGACAAGGCTGGAGTTTAAGTACTCAGCACAAACACCAAGAGGCTGTACCAGAGCTGATACACACTGAAAGCAGAAAGAAAAGGACTAATTATACACGTAAAACATAACAAAAAGGTAATTAACCTTTGAATACAAGCTGTGGTCATTTTAAACATAAGCCGCATCTAATGACATACAATGGTGTTCTTGATCACAGTTGACAAGACGTCACCTGTCAATCAATCCAGCAGGCTCGTCAGCAACTGACCAATCGGTCATCGCAATTTCTCCCAAAGTGAAACGCCCCTTACCTGCAGGAGCTGCACCCCATTTTCCTCCGAAAACATTGTCGGGGTTTTGCATTACAAAGGCTTTGTGGTCAGAGAGATTTTGTGAAAAATAATTTAAAAAAAAAGGTTAAATGTCGTCATTGGTGGTGTCACATGTAATTCAGACACGTGTTACCCCGAGTGTTTAGAGAGTGGAATACAGATTAGACCGCCCAAACCTAAACCGAGTCTGGAAAAATGTAAAAGATGGATAAAGCCCCGCGGCCGATCTCATGAGCAGCTGAATAAAACAGTGATAAACGGGAACGACATGTTCATCTGTACAAAGGTAACTGCAAGTAAATCCTCCATTCTGGTCATAATTACATTGTATGCTTAATGGTTAAATTTAAGGTTAATGCTTAAAGCTAGTTGTGCTTTGTTTTGTGTGTTTTATATGTAAATATATGTTGCAACTTCTGGTTGTACAAGTTTAGTCTTTGTGTGCTATGATCAGTTAACACCAAACTGATTTTGCACAAAGTGTTTGATAAGTTGTGTAAAGTAAAATGTACACTAATGGTACATACTGAATTTCACGGTAAATTCTTGCACTGCGATGTTCAGCAGCATGAAAACATCTACTGCAGTAATTATTCAAAGTTATTAGGTAGTACATTTGAACATTGGCTGATAAGGCAAGAACGCCTCACCACACGGTAACACAATGAGCTATCCTTTGTTTTTGTTTGTCGGAGACTAGCTCATCCCGGGTTACATATCCACGTGGACGATGCAATCTTACATTTCGCGTCATGTCAATCGCATGTGTTAGGGAGACGGGGTTAACAAATATGCAGGTTAGTTCAGGACTAACTGTAATCATTTTCTTTCGGTGCAGTCTTGTCATATCTTCCTCATCGCACGTCTGTGATCAGCTCCTTCTCCTCCATTTTCCACTATGCACCGAGTAACCCTAAACCTCCTCTTGACTTCCTGCCCAGAGCTGACCATGACAAAGCATCTTCTGAGAGTGGGTAGAGGAAGGAGCTTCTCTCAATATTTTTTTCTCCTTTCACTTTCAGTCTCTGCCATGTTTAGGTCAGATATCTTAACAGCTAACCGCTGAGGTCTTGCTGTTCCCAAAAAGTGCTACATTAGTCAGTAATGACTTGTTGCCTTCCGAATATGCTAATGATCGAGAGAGAGAATGTGTGCAGTGAATCAATGGCTATGCTCTGCGGCAGTTCCGGCCAGGTTCAACTAAAGGAAGCATCAGAACAAGGATGCCTCAGAACATATAAAACAACAGGGCGTTTCAACCATCACACACCAGGAGGATGCCAGAGTGTGTCTGTGAGTGTTACAGAGAGGCCAGGGGTAAAAAGAGACACATTCAGCGTCCTGCAACTGAACGCAGTGGCAGTAAACATGTTGACCCTGCATAGGCTGTCAACAGTGCCTCTCCCCCCATGACGGGAACAGCAAATATTTCAACTGACCCGGCTAGATAAATGACAAAAAGCAAGCAACAAGGAGGCTTATTCTTACAGCAATCTCAATATCCTCGGAGTTGAGTTTAGTTTGGATGGCAGTGAATCCTCCCAGCTCTCCAAACTTTACCACAAAAAAGGAGAAAAACACAGAATCAAACAAGGAAACGCTGATAGACGTACATGTTTATGGCAAATAACGAATCCAGTACTTACTCGATTAACCAAATCAACCAGCCAACCATGAGGTTCCTGAAAGAGAAAATAAAGCACGTCTTCAGCAGATTTATTCAACAACAGCAGATTCTCACTGACACATTAAGTTTTTTCCAACAGCTGCTGCGTGTCAGTCACATGTTTTCCTGAGCCTAGCAGCTCTGTCACACAATGCTGAGGATGAAAAACTTGCTCACTTGTCCGTGAACTTCATTGTGATCCATAAACACCAACTAATAAGGAAGAGGGTATATAAATACAGGTGCAGCTTTACAGATCTAAGTGTGTCTGGATGAACTGGCACACGGACAACACAGCAGCAGCACTTTACAGCGAATGATGAGCACGAGGATAAAACGGCGTTTCTTACTTTCTGATAGGTGTTGCTAGGAGAGACAGCAAACATGTTGGCTTCGTCTCCAAAAACTTCAGCCCAGTTCCTCTGACATGCCTTCATCCGGTTTTTAAAATGGTACTCGTTATCAGGATTTAGGGCCTGTTTGTTCACAGTAACAAAAACATGGAGTAATTCTATGAAATTGCCATTTCTGGAACACTGAACGAACACGTTTAACAAATGAATGTAAAGACAATGATTTACACACCATAGTCAGGACTCCCATCAAGTTTACAGGTACAGGGTCCTGCTTCACCCTCTCAGCAACCAGCTCCACCAGCAGCATGAGCATGTTGTAGATGCCCTCGTGGATCTCTGTGCCCCACTTGTGCACAGCGCTGCTGGTCAACAACTGAGACAGACATGAAGAAAGTCAGGCAATGCATCTTGGGAGAATAAACCATTTTCTGACTGTAAGGCAGGGGTTCTTAATCTTTTTGGGTTCAGGGAGTCCCTACAGGGGAGAAAATGTTTCAGGGATACCCTCATGTTTATTAAATAATTTTCTTCAATTTGTCTCTTTAGGAAATATTTGTGTATCATAAATACTTAAGGCAGCATAGTGGTGTAACTGGTAGAGCTGCTGCCTCTCAGCGAGCAGATCCCTGGTTCAAATCCCGGTCCAAGGACCTTTTTGGGTGGAGTTCGCATGTTCTCTCTGTGCATGTGTGGGTTTTCTCCGGGTACTCCGGTGATGGACTGGAAACCAGTCCAGGGTGTACCCCGCCCCTCGCACAGTGATTTTTGGACATGGGCACTGGCGACCCCATGACCCAAAATGAAAAAAACGGATAAAAAGATAATGGATGGATAAATACTTAAGACCAGTTCTTTAATAGTGTTAATACAATTTTTCTACTTTTAAACATGGGAGATTTTTCATTCAAGACAATTAAATTATTTTTTTTCTTTCAGCTGCCCCCTGCGTTAGGGGTCACCACATCGCATGAAGACTTGGCAGTTATTTTTACATCGGATGTCCTTCCTGACTCAACCACAGACCACCGAGCTACCACAGCCTCTGTGTGGAGCAGAGAGCTGCTATCTAGGACACCCGGAGGAGCAGATGGTGGGGGTTAAGGGCCTTGCTCAAGGGCCCAGAGTGGGACGAATGAGGGTGGGGGCAGGTATGCGTGCCTCACCTACCCCACCCACATTTTTGATGTTGTCGGTACCAGGGTTTGAACCGGATCACAGGTCCACCTTCTCTAACCTCTGCGCCACCAATCCACCTCATTCAAGACAATTAATAAAATTTTTATTTCAACTTCCAAAACTTACAGTTTTGTGAAAATTGACAGGATCAAAAACCACTTTAAAACTTTACCTATTCACTTAATAAACATAATAAATGTATCGACACTTCTTCAAATTATTACATAAAACTACATAGAACTGAACAGAATCATAACAGCAGTAGTGACACCAAGTAACAGAGCTTCATTTGTAAACTGATCAATGCTAGAATGCAAATAGCAGGCGGGGGGGTCTGGGGGTCCTCCCCCCCCAATTTTTTTTTAAGTAGATGTGATTTCCAGTATTTTGGTGTATTTTAACAGCTTGCTAAAAAAATAAAAAATAAAGTATATACATACATACATACATACATACGTGCGTGTATATATATATATATATATTTTTTTTTTTTTTTCGGAGCTGGGGGGGGGGTGCTGGACCCCCAAGCACTGACTCGCGGACCCTTGGGGGTCCGGGGACCCAGTTTGAGAACCACTGGTCCAGAGGACCTGAAATAAATATTGTTGGATTTTCACCAGGATTATTGAGCATGAACTTTGAAGACTACCTGTAGAAGTTTGTTCAAGGCAAAAGATTTTCTTTGTTATTATGTCTGCCTTCCATAAACAATAAATGTGAAATAATGTTCTTTATATTGAAAATTTTTTTTGTTTAATTGAGATTTTTATCTTTTGAAAAAATGCATAAATAACAGAGCCTGGAAACATAATTTTATTAATTTTTTTTCCCCATATTTATCCAAAGTGGGAAAAATACTAAAACCTGCATAATTTATCAAAATTTGCAAGACTTTATAGAAACTTTGTCACTGTTTCTTTATCACTCACCTTTTTAAAGGCCTCGGGCATGCAGCGATCCATAAACCGTTTGCAGTTTTCATCAGCATCCGCAAGACCTGAACAAAAGAAAGATGATCCAGCTCTAAACTTGGAGAAGACATTTGTCTGTCAAACAAGTAGACGACGTGTGACAAAGACTTCACAATAACAACAGATGAAAATCACTCGGTGATCCATGTCACCCACGTGATTACACAGACTCAGTTTAGGATCTTGAAAACAAACAAACACACAAGATCTTACCGTGCCGAGCAAGGCAGGTGGAGGCGATGAGACACTTGCCCAGGGACTCCTCTCGCTTGTAAGGTATGGACCAGTGGTCAGTGAAGACTCGACTCTCCAGCTCATACAGGTTGGTGGTGGGAAACTCCATGCTGCCTCCCGAGCAGTTCCCATTTTCATCATTGCTTCGCTGTAACATGCAGAGAGGATAAATTTATTACCTACAGTAACGCACAAGGTGACTTTATTCCACTCAGCTTTTGTTTTTCATCACAGTGACTGTCCTCTGTGCGACGCTGGGATAATGCTAATGGCCTCTGGTAATGATAATGTCAAACAGGACGTTGTTTGATTCCTTTCCTCCCTCTGTGGGCGCAGCAACAGCAGGAAAAGTGTGTCCTCTCCACTGCCATCTGCCCTTCATCTCTGCATGAACTCCATGCCTTTTACGAACACTTGGCCTGATTGACTTGAACGACTCTAAAGGGCTGACATCTGTGATGCCGAGTGTGAGAACAAGAGCAGTTTAATGAACAACCTACTGCATGACATGATGCTGTCCTGTCAGCTGCACAACAACCTGGACATTTTCAGCTATCGTAACTGAGCAAATAAAAAGAGAAGTTTAAAATTCAATCGATATGTTGTTTACGGCTTCTTTCCCTTTCGGATGCTCCACTCTGCAGGGGCTGCCACAGCAACACATGCATATGCAGATGTACGTGTCTGACTTCAGCTTTATAACTTGAACCCCTCACTCACTGCTCTTTGAATTGAGAAAGCTTCTCGAATGAGGAGCGAAACGTCTTATGTTACAAGTAAAGTCCAGTTGTTTTTGTCTTGAACTTTTTTTAACTGACCATGTCCTGGATGACTGAGGATCTTCACCAGCGTATTTACCTCGTAACACTGGTTACATATTCACAAAGTCTGTATATTTAAGCATAAACTGCAGAGCTCCCTGCCTTGAAACAGCACTGCCCAGTGCAAACGTATTTAAGCACATCTGGATCAACTGCTTACAGTAAGTTTGCACCTTAACTGTGTTACTGAACGAAGTTGCTTTGATTTGAAAGTCCCCACCCCCAGATTAATTTCTAAATCCATTATAAATGAGCAAAACTATTACTGTCCATTTTGTCAGTGGGCACTACAGTGATTAAATATTAACACAGAAAAACGAAGTTAAGCCAAGTCTCACCACTTGGAGTACATACCCTCGATGTTTTAGATTGGGTTCAATGTGTTCAGAACATGCTTTCCGGTACTGATACGAGTGTGATACGAGGTGATACACTTAGCATTAGGTCTATCAAGAGGAAGAGGAGCAGGGAGGAGAGGGAAGGAAAAAGCATCGTATTTCATCTCTTCCCTTTCTAAGAAAATTAGATATGACAAGCAGATGGATGAGAGGTAGGAAAGTGGGAGGACGGATGAATATAGACATTAGAAAAACGAGATGGGAGAATATATATGAAAAAAATACATTGCAATTCTGGTAGAGTTACCAAATCACAACAATAATTTAGGCGCAAGCACAATCTGATTAGTTTCAATTTGCCAACAAGAGAAAAAGGACATTTTCATGACACCACATACAGAAACTCTCCGATACTGCCATTGAACCGTTACCAAAGCTGGAAAGTTTCGAGATTTAAAAGCATGTGACCAATGTGCAGAATGTACACGTGTGGGGTTGAGCTGGATAACTGGGTAACTCAGCACCGCTCTGTTACTGTGGGCTTGCAACCCTCCTGGGAACCCCTGCAGAAACCTCCAATGTGCTGGTGAGTCTGGGAGACTATATTTAGGAACATAACACGAGTCACAAGCCAACACCAGGCATCTAAAACATAAATACAGAAAACATGGAAGGAGGAAAAGGGTAATACACGTTAACCTTTATACTGCAAACATGTTTCATAGCATGAGAAGTGAATAGTTGCGTTTCCAGGTCTCACAAAAAATATTTAAATTCTTTTTATCAGGGTCTCACTTACAGATGTACTGGTATATACAAGATATTACTATAATAGCCTACTTTGAATTGATACAGTAATGAAAACGTAAAAAGAGAAAACAGGCGTGACGTAAATTACAGACAGTGGCTACAGGTTTATTTGGGTATATTCTGTTCAGGTACAATCACAATAAGTTCATCAAAGTGACATAACAGGAACTTAAACCTTCTAGGAAGTCAAAGGATCACCGACTTTTAAAACGAGTATTGATTTGGGCGAGACCAGCAGCGTTTTTGACAGAGAAACTGGTTTGAGGTCAAGCTGCTAAAGATAAGCACAGAGCCTCTTGATTTCCTCCAGGAGCTGGTCAAAGCAACCCAGCTGTGTATAGACAGGAACCTACGTGAGGCCAGTTTAATTTAGTTTCAGCACCACATAAACAAACCTGACTGAGAAGTTCAGAGCTAGTTGATAAAAACTGTCAAACGTTAATGACACTTCCTAAAAAAGCTCAAATCCTCCAATACAGATTGATTACCGGTAGTTATTATTAACGTCAGAGATAACACAACATTCTGACAATATATTCAAAATATTAATCAAAATGGACACTTTGCCTAAAGAAGGGGCATCCAGTCCTGGTCCTTGAGGGCCAGTGTAAAGGCTTCTTTGCTTCAACACACATAACTTTAATAAATGATGAATGGTAAATGGACTGTACTTGTATAGCTCCTTTCTATCTTATCAAGATACTCAAACTGCTTTACACTACAATCTGTGCCCTCATCATTTCAGGTGTCTCGTGTAAATTAACCCTGAGGTTGAATTTACTATTCATACAGCACTCTACTAGATCTCTACAAAGACTAATCAGTGCTTTATTACATTCATACACTGATGGGGCACACGTCAGAGGCTATGATGGGTTCAGTGTCTTGCCCAGGGACACTTCGGCATGTGACTGCTGGTGGAATCGAACCCCCGACCCTTGGAGGACGACTGCTCTAACCACTCAGCCACAGCCGCCAATAAATGGGCAATGAACAAGTTTCTGCAGAACTTGAAAAGGTCAATCACTGAATGAGGTGTGTTGGAGCAGACTAGTAAAACATGCAGGGTGGCGGCCCTCAGGGACCAGGATTGGGCACCCCTGATGTGAAGCAAGTGCATCTTCATTTAAGGTAAAATTCCAGGCAGGAGAGCTGGGCACAGACAGACTATTCCTTATGGCAGCTAGCCCAATCATGCAAATAATCTTCAACAGGCCAGACAACAATCAGCAGGTTAACAAAGAAATCTGACCACGATAAATGAGAGTTTCCTTTCAGATTGCCGTAATAATCCACCAGTGATGCTTCTGAGCTCCCACTGCTGGTACAAAAGTACTGGCGCGATTCACTCTCCACTAACCTAGCTAGCCAGGCTAGCTTCTAAGTTTAAATGGCAGATAAGTTTAAATGGTCATTATTTAAGCACATAGCCGTATTATTTACGATTCGCTTTCATATCACAATGAAGTAACGACTTGTCCTGTTCTGTAAGACCGGAGAATATTCAACCTTCGGCTCTGACAGCTCACGTTGGGCTACTGCATGTAGCTCTGACTGAAGCTGCTAAGTTTGGCTAGTTAAATGGGCGAGCCCAGTCCATGTTGCTTGTTGAAAGTATTATTTCCTCATCAGCTCCTGTTGAAAGTCATGTTCTTACCTCGCTATCCACCACGTCGTGATATGCTGGAGGGGGATCAAACCCACCAGTCCCAGTCCGCCCGCTACTTTCTCCGTCTCCACTCGAGCCCAAGCCGGTGGAAGGCCCACTCTCCATCGGTTCATATCCATACCCGAGTCCGGGGCTTTCGTTCGTCAGGAGCGCCACTGCCTCGTTGATGTCATTCTTTGCCAGCCGGAGAGCTTTTCGAATCACGTCAGGATCTGGGAAGCCCATACAGAGGAGCGTCGTTATGTGCTGCTCCTCTTCGGTCTCCATTTTTGGGGTGTCCGCGTGTCTCAGACTAATAGTAACCCGGTGTTCGGCGCAGCCCTGTAGCTGTGTACGCCGCCATGTTTACAGTCCGCCGCCGCAGCTAGCCGGTCACGACGATTTGCTGCTCCCAGAACAGCGCCGACACTGGTGTTGAGGCGAAATCTGCATCCGAAGAACCGCAGGCTGCCGGCGGGAGCGCGCACACCAAGTACAGGTATAACAGATTTACTGATTTGATTTGATATTAAGATAAGACAAGACAAGACAAGATAAGATAGAACTTTATTGATCTTGCATGAAATTGTTGTGCCAGAGTTTCAATGCAACGTAACAAGGAATCACAAAGATATAAAAAAATCAACAGAGAGAATTAAAAAAAAAAAAAAAAAAATAGAGAATGTAAAAAATATCAACAATTAAGGTCTTAAGCAGGTCAGGTGCAGACAGAAACATTAAAGTGTTTATTGTAGTGCAGGATTAATTTTATTGTCCTATAGGGGGAGGAGGGAGGGGGGATAATATGAGGTAATAATTATATTAACTTCTAGTTCAGCCATAAAGTGAAGCACGCGCGCACACACACACACACACACACACAGAAGTTGAAAAAGTTATTAATAAATAACAATTCCTTAATAAAACAAATTATTGTAAATCATCTTGAAACTCTTATTGTATTTCATTTGTATAGCATTTCAAAAACAGTTTACTCTGGAAATTTCTAAACTTATTGTTAAATTATTTTACTCGGTAGGAATCAGGCTTCTATGACAGAGTATTAGGACCACGTTAAGAAAAAAAATTATATTATGAAGGAGAATAAAGTCATAGTATTACGAGAATAAAGCTGTACGACAATAAAGTCATAAAATTACAAGAATTAAATCGTAATATTACGAGAATAAAGTCGTACGAGAACAATGTTGAAATATTACGAGAATAAAGTCATAGTATTATGAGAATAAACTTGTAATATTATCAGAAAAAAAGTTGTAGTATTATAGAAGTCCGACACAACAAAGCAGTCTTACAACTGTGGTAAAATGATTCAAGGATTCAGGAATTCAAGGTTCTTTATTGTCATTCACATCACATGTGGTACATGAGGTGGAATGAAACTATGTACACAGGGTTACAGTTACATCCAACAAAAATGCAAATTGTAAAGAAAAACAGTAGTAAGATCCAAGACATGAACTAAGAAATATGCTAAACCAAGAATACACTAAGCACTAAACTAAGAATACACTAAATAAACTAAACTTATAATTAGGGGAGTGGTGGCGCAGAGGTTAGAGAGGTGGGCTTGTGATCCGAAGATCGCCGGTTCACGCCCCGGCCCCGACAACATCAAAAATTGTGGGTGGGGTAGGTGAAACACCCACACTTGCCCCCACCCTCATTCGCCCCACTCTGGGCCCATGAGCAAGGCCCTTAACCCCCACCATGTGCTCCCTAAAAAAAAAAAAAAAAACAGGTTTCTCTTGAAAATGAGTTCTCGTGGCTCAATGAGACTAACCTGGATAAATAAAGGCTAAATGAAAAAAAAAAAATAAAAAATAAGAATACACTAAACTAAGAATACACTAAACTAAGAATACACTAAACTAAAAATATAGAATACACTAAGCACTAGTACAAAACAATGCGCCAAACAACAGCAGCACGAACATGAGTCTGTGTGAGCAGACGAGTACGAATGAACACAGGAAAGTGAAATAAATCATTTTTCAGGTCTTGTAAATGAGTCCCTGAGGCTCAATGGGATTAACCTGTCTAACTAAAGGTTGAATAAAAAAAAAAAAAAAAATCAGCAGCATGAGATCAACATCATGGATAGTCAGCAGCACATATCAACAACCAAGTGGCATTACAGTGATTTTTTCAACAGTGTTTTTTTGTCACAGTAATTTTCACATTGATAATCCTAACTAGAGATTCATGAGTCCAACAGCCTCAGGGTAGAAGCTGTTCCTCAGCCTAGTGGTTTTACACTTAATGCTCCTCAACCTTCTGCCTGAGGGGAACAGGACAAAAAGTGTTTGTGCTGGGTGAGTGGGGTCCTTCATGATGTAGGTGGCCCTCTTCCTGCATCTGGAGGTGTAGATGTCTGTGATGGTGAGGAGACAGACTTCTGTGCAGGTGATGACTGTGATAAATGTTAATGTCGGCAGGGGACCCAACGCACTGTGGCATATGGATTCTTATAAATGGTAAATGTACTGCACTTATTTAGCACCTTTCTATCTGATCAAGACACTCAAAGCTCTTTACAACACAATCTGTGTCCTCATTTACCCATTCATACAGCACTCTACTAGATCTCTACAAAGATAAATGAACAAATCATTCTAAAGAGACTAATCAGTGCTTTATCATATGCATACACCGATGGGACACACATTGGAGGCAATGAGGGGTTCAGTGTCTTGCCAAGTGATGTGACTGCTGGTGGATTTGAACCCTCAACTCTTGCATTGGAGGACGACTGCTCTAAACACTCAACCACAGCCGCCCTTTATTCTGATAAAATGAAGCCGTATGACATTGCAATTAATGGCTGCACTGACAGATTTGGTCGTCACATGTGGATGGAGGCATATTTCACAGAGACCTGAGCATGATCGCAGTACTTCATAAACACACTGACTCGCATTGGAGGCTGTCCACAGCAGGTGTAAACTGACCCAGGAACGTATTACAAATTTATTCTCGCAATATTTCAACTTTATTCTCGTACGGCTTTATTCTCGTAATATTTTGACTTTTTTTTCGTAATGTAATTTTTTTCTTAGCGTGGCCCTGTTGTAGGCTTCTAATACTGATACCTGGAAAAAGTACAAATAAATATGTCAGAATTCTGAAATTTTTTTTTTTTTTGAGAATTCTGACTTTTATTTAAAACGTCTGAACTTTTTCTCAGAATTCTGAGGAAAAAGTCAAAATTATGAATTCTGAATTCTCAGAATTTTGAGATTAAAGTCAGAGTTGAGAGGGGAAAAAAACTGCACGGTGGCCCTAATCCTCTTCTGTAAACGTTATCAAATTTGAGTTAAAATTAAATTTGTGCAATGTTTTATTGTTTCCTGTTTGAACTTAAGTAAGTAAAAATTATGTTTTAAATATCAGCCATTTTAAAATGAATATGCAAATTAAATTATTACTAGAAATTTACACAAAAACTGATACAACTGTTTTTGTACCTTTAATGACTCTCACTTGTGGGCACAACAAAAGTTCATTAACATTTAAAAGCACACCCTAAGCGTTTCAATATTAATTTTATTTTATTTCTTTATGGACTATCTGTTAGTGCTTCATGGACCGCCTCGTTTGTAAATGTATATGTACGTGTTCATAAATGTTCTTTTGGCTGGCAGAGTTTTTTAACGTCTTAAATCTTGCCCAATAAGGACAAGGTGTGAAGAGATCTTTTTTGTAATGCCACTATCCTTTCCTCTTGGCTTTGTCCCTTTTTGTATCTAAAAATATTATTCTGAATAGGAATAAGAGGGCCACGCAAATTAGCAGCAGCTTCGTGCCCTACGTCCATCTTTCGGACAACTGTACGTACATGTTCTCGTTGTATCTCAGTGCAATGATAATAAAACTTATTCTGATTCTGATTTATGAGTTTTCTGTAACAATCTTTTTTCTTCTTTTTTCAGCTGCTGTTCGGCGTATTGTTTTTGCTCTACTAGTGCTTAGTGTATTCTTAGTTTAGCACATTTCTTAGTTCATATCTTATATCTTATTGCTGTTTTCTTTACAATTTACACTTTTGGTGGATGTAACTGGGGCCTGTACACAATTTCGTTCCACCACATGTACCACATGTGGTGCGAATGACAAATAAAGAAACCTTAAACTATAAATGTGTTTGGGATGGCTGTTGTGGCATATGGGGGATGGTGCCAGCATAGCAGGACCATGGACGAAGAATCGGGCAGATATGCTAGGCCAACCCCACGCATGTCGCATAACGCGCATCGGATAACAGATGCACGAAGGAGGAGCTAGCTTCGTGCACATGACGTTTCGTGCACATGACGTTTCGTGCACATGACGGTTATGACATGACCAGTCATCATGCGCTGTTGTTGCACATGCGGGCGTAAACGACGCCATCCCAAATATTTTCAGGTCTCTCTTGTAAATGAGTCCTCGAGGCTCAATGGGATTTACCTGTCTAAATAAAGGTTGAATGAAAATGATGCAACCACAGACCACTGGGCTACCACAGCCCTCTGTGTGGAGCGGAGAGCTGCCATCTAGGGCGCCCAGGGTCAGGGAAGCAGATGGTGGGGACTGTTAAGGGCCTTGCTCAAGGGCCCAGAGTGGGGCAAAGGAGGGCGGAGGCAGTGTGGGTGCTTCACACATTTTGATGTTCAAGTTCAAGTAAGTTTTATTGTCATTTGCATCACATGTGGTATATGAGGTGGAATGAAATGTGTACACAAGGGTCCCAGTTACACCCAACAATAGCAAAAATATACAAAGTAAATTGTAAAAAGAAACAGTAAATAAGGATCTAAGAAATACGATAAACACTAATAGTGCAAAACAATACATCTAACAACAGCAGCACGAACATGAGTCTGTGTGAGCAGATGAGGACAAATGAACACAGCAGCATGAAATAAATCAGCAGCATGAGATCAGCAGCAACACACATCACCAATCAAAATGGCATTACATTGTACAGTGATTTTTTTTTATCACAGTGATAATCCTGATTAGGGATTTATGAGTCCAACTAACTTCTCTAACCTCTGCGCCACCACTTTGTGTGCAACTCAATTCATTATTTTTTTAAGGGCGTGGCTTTGCGCGTGGTAGTGGCGGGAGGAACTGACGGACGTCACGTGAACACTCAGCTCACGTGAGAATGCAAAGGAACAAAATGGCTGCGGTGGGTGAGGAAGCCGCAGCCATGGATAGCATCTCCAAGGAGCCAGCGGCCCTGGCAGCAGCAGTAAACACCGCAGGCGGCCCAGCTAAAGCGGAATGTTCGGACGAAGGAGCAGAAAGTCTGACGACTGCTCCGAAGAAGTCCGGGACAAACAGTCCGTCATGTTTTCTTTGCACTTCCGCCTAGCTTATATGCTATCCCCCCCCCAAATGTTTATATGTCTTGCCTCGTTTTTAATTCCTGAGAATACATACAGCGAAGAGTGTTTTGTCTGTTATTGCTTTGCTCCTGTGTAGCTTCAGAGCAGAAACGGAAAGCAGGAGTAATGTAGTGTTGTCGCAGGTGATGGAGGTGTAGAGACTGCAGAGGAGGCTGTGGAGCCCGCAGAAGCTGACATCAACGAGCTGTGCTCCGATATGTTTGAAAAGATGGCCGTCTTCCTGCAGGGAGAGCTAACAGGTTGGATTTTCAGCTTGACTGTGAGCACATGCTCTTATGCTTTTATTTTAATTTGTACCTCTGTTCAGCATTAGATAACTGATACATTTCAGCTTTGTTTAGACATCTTACTGCTGTGATTATTATTAGAACCACAGTTACATGTTTGATTATTGCTACTGAAGCATTCTTTAGCAAAACAAGTAAGGACTTTACAGTTTTGATGCACACCAAACTGTCCTACAATATTTCATACTGCTATTCATTCAACCTTTAGACAGGTTCGTCTCATTGAGTCTCGGGGACTCATTTACAAGAGAGACCTGTTTTTAACAGAGTAATGACAACAATAGACGATCATAAAGGATGCGTACAAATTGAGATTAAAAAAAAAATTAACAAGTAAAAATAAAATGCTATTTAAAAAAAAAAAAACAGCTAGATTGAAGGGCGGTGTAAAATACTAAAAACAGGAACATGTCTGTGTTGGTTTTTCCCAGGAACTTAGCAGATGTTTGAAGCCACTTAGAGAGGTCAAGGTCGAGAGCTTCAGATCTTTTTGCAAGATATTCCAGGAAACGGGAGCAGCGTAGGAGAAGGCCCTTTTGCCAAGTTCAGTCCTCACTGAGGGAACACTGCATGTAATAATGTCCTGAGAGCGCACGCTGTAGCTGCACTCACGCAGAGACATGTAGGAGGAGATATGAAGTCAACAGAACAAGAAGTGATTTAAAGCTGAAAATGTACCAGTGGGAGAGTCTGCGTGAAGTTAATGATGACCTGTGAATACAGGGTGCAATGGTGGGTACGGTAGTTACAGCTAATTATGATATGAACCTTAACTCACCATGATAGACAACATCCAGCATCTGCAGGGTTCTTGGAGCGTTCATGTAAATAATCAGAATCAGTTTATTATTGCCATGTCAATGAACGAGGTTCACAAACTAGGAATTTGCTTCGACATAAGGTGCGAATAGTAATAAAGTAAAATAAAGTAAAAATTAAGTAAAAATGAGAACATTACATAAGACATAAGACCTGTGTACACCCACAAATAAAGTAAAATTAAAAACATAACATAACCATATGTACACCCATACAATAGAAAACAATAAAAAAGCTTCAAGAACAGTACAGATGGAGTATTCAGTTATAATACAGATGTGATGTGACCAAAGCAGAAATTATGAGGTAGCATTATGAGTGTTCAGGAGTCCAACAGCAGAGGGGAAGAATCTGTTCTTATGGCGGGAGGTTCTGGTCCAAATGGACCGAAGCCTCCTGCCTGAGGGGAGTGGTTCAAACAGTCCGTGTGCAGGGTGAGCAGGGTCAGCTGTGATCCGACCTGCTCGCCTCACAGTCCTGGAGACGTACAGGTCGTGGAGGGATGGAAGGCTGCAGCTGATCACCTTCTCAGCTGAGCGCACAACGCGCTGCAGTCTGAGTCTGTCCCTGGCAGTGGTCCCGGCGTACCACACCGTGATGGAGGAGCTGAGGACGGACTCGATGATGGCCGTGTAGAACTGCACCATCAGCTTGGCCTTCTTCAGCTGTCGCAGGAAGTACAGTCTCTGCTGGGCCTTCTTGATGAGGGAGCTGATGGTTGGCTCCCACTTGAGGTCCTGGGTGATGGTGGTGCCGAGGAACCGATAAGAGTTTGCAGTGGTGATGGGGGTATCATTACAGGTGAGGGGGGGCAGAGGGGCTGTGGCTTTCCTGAAATCCACAATCATCTCCACTGTCTTCTGGGCATTGAGTTCCAGGTTGTTGCTGCTGCACCAGGTCACTAATGTCACCATAGTCAATGGCGGAAAGGAAAGTCACAGTTACAAGGCGTTTCCTAGCATTCAGAGTTAAACAGGATCTATTTCAGAAAAAGAAAACCAGTTTAACTTTCAGTTTCCTTACTAGGTTTTCCACGTGGAGCTTAAAAGAGAGATGTGGATCGACTAGGGGTTGAACGACTACATAATTTTTAAACTCGACATTAACATAATAAAACTCAAGTAGTTGATGACGTCATAGGATCTCAAGATGCAAAAAATAAAATAAAACTGCAAAAAGTGTCATTTATTTTTTACAAAAAAAAGACCAACAAAACATTGGGAGAGTATATTATGCTCCTACCATTTGTCATACTGCAAATAAGTCACAGGAAAAACTAAACTATTAGTTATTATTATTATTATTATTATTATTAAGCTGCAAAAGTGAAAGAAACGTGCGGCACATAAAAAAAAAAAAACAACTAAAAACAGTGGGACAGACGACCACCACCACCCACAGTGGTGCACATTAGGTTTAGTTTTAGAGATTAATATGTTTATAGGTTTTTTTATAGGTTCAGAGATTAATATTTTTTGCTTTTTGTTTGTGAAACAAGGTCAGAGGAAGCTGGTTCTGGTTTGGTCATTGGACCCAGTGTTACACCATATTCTGTGACCTGCAACAGTGCATGCAACACCGCCCCCTACGGTCACAATATACGGTGGTCACAAAATATGGTTCCCACGAGCTCCAAACAGTCAGGAAGTTGATTAATTTTCTGTTTCCTTACGGTAGTTGAACCAGAAGATTCATCTTTAGTGAAATATTTCCATACTATTGATGCATTTCTACCTGTTTGCCAAGACTGGGCCTGCTCCGTTCAATCTATCTGCTTGCAGGAATCCATTTTGTCCATTTTGTAGCCTCTACTAGTAGCCGGTGCAGATCACGTGACGCAATGACGTAACTGTGACGTAATGATGTCACTGCGAATACTCAACGTGAAATTTTAAAACTTGGTAGATGTCCTAGGAATCGACCTGTCGATTACTCGAGTAGTCTGTTAAAGCCCTAGAATCGACCAACATACCCAAATACTTGTGGGAATCGACAAACTCAATAGGGACACAAGTGACAGAACAAATCTGACTGGATGACATCAAAAGCAGATTGCAAAAGCTGGAAAACCTTAGCAACTGTTTTAGCTCGACAATAAACAACTGCGTCATCAGCATAGAAATGTAAGGATGCATCAGGGATGTTCTGACCTACATTACCTACTTAGATTCAAAGAGGGTGGGTCCGAAGACAGAGCCTCGTGGTACACCATTGTTGACACTTAAATAACTGGAGGATGTACCATTATGTTGAACACATTGATGACAGCCATGACAGTTCAGGGGGTAAATATTATCAAATGATCTTTAAGCTTGTTAAAGTGGTTGCAAAGAAACAAAAAACCACTAGCCTTTTACACTTTTGATGCACTTACGTACAAGTGCAGGTTTGACCCCATCTGGGGGAAACTAAATCTACAACAGGCTTTACTGTCAACACCAACTCCTCTTATGCTTGTTAGACCGAAGGGAGAGGCTGCAGCTCAACCCAAAATGGCTTTAGAACATCTAGAATTACATGTTTTCTTATATTGCCCATGTTGTTGCGTTTAAACTCAGGAGACAGTTTAATTGTGTGATGTTTGCTGCAACCTCTGTTGGAAAAAGCACCAGGGTGACATAATGTTTATTCCTACCATTTTCCCCTTTGGTTTTTATTTTTCTTCTTAGCCACTTGTGAAGATTACCGTCTTTTGGAGAACATGAACAAACTCACAAGTCTAAAATACATGGAAATGAAGGACATCAGTATCAACATCAGCCGTAACCTGCAGGATCTCAACAACAAGTGTAAGATATTTTTAGTTATGAATGAAGTTCATCATAAATACAGTATTACGCTTTTGTGTATTTTTTATTTTTATAAATCACTGTGACACACACTTGGTTTTATGTATGTTTACTTCAGATGCTAGCCTACAGCCATACTTGGACCAGATAAACAAAATTGAAGAGCAAGTGTCAGCCCTTGAACAAGCTGCTTACAAACTTGATGCATACTCCAAAAAACTGGGTAAGTCATTGAGCTAAACTGCGACAGTACTGTTTAATGCGATACTTCTTGAAAGATAAGCCAAACGATTTCCACATTCCAAGCACACCATCCATCCGTCATCTTTTACCCGCTTCTTCCGTTTTGGGTCACGGGGGGTCTCCGATGTCCAGCAATCACTGTGCGATGGGCGGGATACAACCTGGACGGGTTGCACACCATTTCACCCCATCTCACTTTTACTTAAATTTGCAGTGTTTGATACAATAAATCCTTTCATCGTCTCTACTCAAATAAACCACTCGGGGGACACGCGAAGATTTTTAAACCAGTCTGCATTTGCAAGGCCAGATGTCATGAGGAAGCTTTCCCAGATGTACAAAAAGTTACATGCCTTTAGCTTCGTTATTGTGGATCTGTGGCGGACAGAGAGGCAGGAGAGCTTTAATACATGCTTATCAGACAGAGCTGAGGTCAAGATGACCTCGGCTTTTCAGCACCTTCAAGTGCCTCTGTGTGCCTGCAGGCTCCTCTCTGACAGGACATCTGAGCAGGGAACACACACATTAGTTTGATATCAGTTGATAAACATCACATCAACACCTTTACCTAAATTCCCCTGACAGTTTGTCTTTTTGTATTAGAGAAAATAGTTTTTTTTTGTGACAATTCTGACATGAGTCTCTTGTAATGTCCTAGTTATTTTGAGAGATTTTGTGTGTGCTTGGGTTGGTGGTGGTTGGGTTGGGGGGGGGGGGGGGTGACTAAAAACCAAAATAGCCACCAATCTTGATTAATAGCTTTTCAGCAGCAGATGGTGCTCTGACACCACTTACTACGCATTTCTAAATTTATACATCCTTCCATCCATCCATCCATTATCTTCTGCTTATTCCGAAGTCGGTTCGCGGGGGCAGCAGCTTGAGCAGGGAGGTCCAGACATCTCTTTCCACAGTCACTTTCCAGCTTTTCTGGGAGAACCCCAAGGTGTTCCCAGGCCAACCGAGAGACATAGTCTCCAGCGTGTCCTGTGTCTTCCCTGGGGTCTCCTCCTAGTCGAACATGCCCGAAGCACCTCAACTGGCTCCTCTCGATGTGGAGGAGCAACGGTTCTACTCTGCATCTCTCTGGGAGAACTGAACTTCTCACCCTAAGGAAGAGTCTAGCTACCCTGCAGAGGAAACTCATTTCAACTACCTGTATCATTCTTTCAGTCACTACCCAGAGTTCGTGACCGTAGGTGAGGGTAGGATAGTAGATCGACCAGTAAACGGAGAGCTTCGCCTTACAGCTCAGCTCCCTCTTCACCACAACGGACCGGCACAGAGTCCACAATACTGCAGAAGCTGCACCAATCTGTCTGTCAATCTCACGCTCCATTCTTCCCGCACTCGTGAACAAAACCCCAAGATACTTGAACTCCTCCACTTGAGGCAGAACCTCACCCTCGACCTCAAGAGAGCAATCCACCCTTTTCCGGTTGAGGACCATGGCCTCAGATTTGGAGGTGCTGATTCTCATCCCAGCTGCTTCACACTCGGCTGCGAACCGCTCCAGTGAGAGCTGGAGATCATGGCATGATGATGCCAACAGGACCCCATTGTCTGCTAAGAGCAGAAATGGAATCCTGAGGCCACCAAACTAGACTCCCTCCACCCCCTGGCTGCACCGAGAAATTCTGTCCATAAAAAGTTATGAACAGAGTCGGTGACAACGTGCAGCCCTGGCAGAGTCCAACTCCCACCCTGTAGTGGTCCGACTTACTACCGGCAATATTAACCAAACTCTCGCACCGTTTGTATAGTGACTGAACAGTCCATAGCAATGGGCCCCCAATCCCATACTTAAGGAGTACCCCCCACAATGTACCCTGAGGAACACGGTCGAACACCTTCTCCAAGTCCATAAAACACATGTAGACTAGATGGGCAAACTTCCAAAGATCTGATCCAGCTGACGCCACCTACTACGCATTTCTAAAGTTAGGCATTTTTAATTTTGCAAACTACAAAAAGATGAACGTTATATGACTGAGTTTGAGTTATTTGAGTCTTATTCTAATGAGTAAACAATCCTAATTTTCCCTTTTTTTTAATAGAGGCCAGATTTAAAAAACTGGAAAAGCGATAAGGAAGAAGAGGAGGCGGACTGAGTTATAAGACCTTACTTCCTTTCACTCGTCCCTCTGCTCTTGCTGCCAGCAGACTCGAGGGCTGCAGGGAGGAACTGCAACTGAAACAACTTACTTTCTGATCCACTTTGAAACCTAAAAAGTACCACGGAGGAAGCAGCTGAAAGGACGTGGATAAGCACTGCAGTATCTGTCACATATCTGACTCCAGTATCACAGATTTTTGAGGACCTATGGACATTTGCTGGTGTTTTTAATGCCTAATCATCAGCCTTGTCTGATAAATCAAATGAAGATGTTTTAATCGAACTGACGGGTACAAGTATCACTATGTACATAACACTTGCCTCCTGTTGAAACATGGTAAACAATCATGTCCCAGAAGTTAAATTTTGTTCTCTAATATTTGTATGCATTAAATTTCCAATCAGCAACAACAACCTGAAACTTGGAATAATGTTTATAACTACAAACATATTTGTCCAGCAAATATGTTTGTAGCCTGAACGACATTCTTCAGAAATAAGTTATTGTACTATGTTAAAGACAAAATATTTTTATTAAATGCCAAGCATTCCTTGAAGTTATGTATACCACCCACCACCTTTCTTGCGAGCGTTTTGAAGGTGTAGGTTTTGGTAAAAAGTTAAATTGTGTTCTGTGCAGTATCGCAAGATGTCATGCTCAAAAAGAGTGTTGACTGCTGCCACAAGATTTTAACTCAGTACCTGTGAAACTGACCGAGTTTGGCTGGATTGTGTTGATGAGCTGTGGAAGGTTCAATGTTCTTTATCATCATCCGCATCACATGTGGTACATGAGGTAGAACAAAATTGTGTAGTCAAGGTCTCAGACAGTTACACCCAAAAATAGCAAAAAATATTAAGTATTAAAAAAGAAACGGTATACAAGGATCTAAGATCTACACTAAACGATAATAATGTAATGTAATACGATGTATTGAACAGCAGCCTGAACATGAGTCTGTTGTGAGCAGGTGGGTATGAATACAGCAGCTTGTGGACAAGAAATCAGCAGCACAGATAAGTCACATCACCAATTAAAGTGGAATTACAATGATTTTCCTGATTAGGGATTTAGGAATGAGTCTAACAGCTTCAGGGTAGAAGCTGTTCCTCAGTCTAGTGGTTCTACACTTAATGCTCCTCGACCTCCTGCCTGAGGGGAGCGGGGCAAAATGTACAGTGCCTTGCAAAAGTATTTGGCCCCCTTGAACTTTTCAACCTTTTGCCACATTTCAGGCTTCAAACATAAAGATATAAAATTTAAATTTTTTGTGAAGAATCAACAAGTGGGACACAATCGTGAAGTGGAATGAAATTTATTGGATGTGTCAAACTCTTTTAACAAAAAAACTGAAAAGTGGGGCGTGCAATATTATTCGGCCCCCTTGTGTTAATACTTTGTAGCGCCGCCTTTTGCTGCAGTTCCAGCTACAGTCTCTTGGGGTATGTTTCTATCAGTTTTGCACATGGAGAGACTGAAATTCTTGCCCATTCTTCCTGCAAAACAGCTCGAGCTCAGTGAGGTTGGATGGAGAGCGTTTGTGAACAGCAGTCTTCAGCTCTTTCCACAGATTCTTGATTGGATTCAGGTCTGGACTTTGACTTGGCCATTCCAACACCTGGATATGTTTATTTGTGAACCATTCCATTGTAGATCTGGCTTTATGTTTTGGATCATTGTCTTGTTGGAAGATAAATCTCCGTCCCAGTCTCTGATCTCTTGCAGACTCAAACAGGTTTTCTTCCAGAATGGTCCTGTATTTGGCCCCATCCATCTTCCGATCAATTCTGACCACCTTCCTTGTCCCTGCTGACAAAAAGCAGGCCCAAACCATGATGCTGCCACCACCATGTTTGACAGTGGGGATGGTGTGTTCAGGGTGATGAGCTGTGTTGCTTTTACACCAAACATATCGTTTTGTATTGTGGCCAAACAGTTGGATTTTGGTTTCATCTGACCAGAGCACCTTCTTCCACATGTTTGGTGTGTCTCCCAGGTGCTGGTGACAAACTTTAAACAACACTTTTTATGGATATCTTTGAAAAATGGCTTTCTTCTTGCCACTCTTTCATAAAGGCCAGATTTGTGCAGTGTACGACTGATTGTTGTCCTATGGACAGACTCTCCCACCTCAGCTGTAGATCTCTGCAGTTCATCCAGAGTGATCATGGGCCTCTTGGCTGCATCTCTGATCAGTCTTCTCCTTGTTCCAGATGAAAGTTTAGAGGGACGGCCGGGTCTTGGTAGATTTGCAGTGATCTGATACTCCTTCCGTTTCAATATTATTGCTTGCACAGTGCTCCTTGAGATGTTTAAACCTTGGGAAATCTTTTTGTATCCAAATCCGGCTTTAAACTTCTCCACAACAGTATCTCGGACCTGCCTGGTGTTTTCCTTGGTCTTCATGATGCTCTCTGCGCTTTGAACAGAACCCTGAGACTATCACAGAGCAGGTGCATTTATACAGAGACTTGATTACACACAGGTGGATTCTATTTATCATCATCAGTCATTTGGGACAACATTGGATCATTCATAGATCCTCACTGAACTTCTGGAGTGAGTTTGCTGCACTGAAAGTAAAGAGGCCGAATAATATTGCACGCCCCACTTTTCAGTTTTTTATTTGTTGGAAAAAGTTTGACACATCCAATAAATTTCATTCCACTTCACGATTGTGTCCCACTTGTCGTTGATTCTTCACAAAAAAAAATAAAGTTTTATATCTTTATGTTTGAAGCCTGAAATGTGGCAAAAAGTTGAAAAGTTCAAGGGGCTGAATACTTTTGCAAGGCACTGTATGTGTGCTGGGTGAGTGGGGTCCTTCATGATGCAGGTGGCCCTCTTCCTGCATCTGGAGGTGTAGATGTCTGATGGTGGGGAGACTGACTCCAACAGTCTTCTGTGCAGCCTTCACCACTCTCTGCAAAGCTTTTCTTTCTGCAGCTGTGCAGCCTCCATGTCACACGTTGATGCTGGAGCACAGGATGCTCTCCACTGCACACCTGTAGAAGGAGGTGAGGACTGAGCTTCCCAGTCCAGCTCGTCTCAGCCGCCTGAGGAAATAGAGTCTCTGATGAGCTTTCTTCATCCGGCCCTAGCTGAGGAAGCCATCTTGAAATGGATTTTCTCCAAAAGTCAGTCAGTTGTAAATTTACATTCAACAATTACTTTCTGCATGTTTGTTACAATCCATACAGGGTTCATGGGTTATTTTGCTAACAGGCATGAGCACAGATCTGGGCCCTCCCTGTCAGGTTATATTAAAACTGCAAACTTATTGAAATGATCATCTTCTGACAGCAGATGGCAGTCTTGTTCTATGATTTATCCTTCCGTCGATTTCTTCCCAGTTAGTCAACTCTTGTGTGGCTGTGGAAACATCTGACCCACAGTTAAAGAAACAAGATCGAGTTACAGATTTCTCACAGAAAGGACAACGTGACACCCAAGGAAGGAAGCGGATGATAAACTTGACAATCAAAGAAAAGGATGCCTGACTAAACATGTGTGACTTCTCTCTGCCTCTTTTGTTTCCTTCTTTAATGCCCCGGAGCAGAACACATGGGGCTTACTGCCAGGGGCAACTGTTTATCTTAACATGCACGATCTTGTGAGCGTGTGCAGGTCTCCGTGTGGTGCTTTATGCTGACAAGATTGTGTATATGAGGTAATTTAAAGCAGGTCTCTGTCATTAGTCCAGCTGAGGCCCTGGCACAGAGGGAGCTCATTATTCAGACTGCAACATTATTTACTGTTGTGCTCTGATCCTTCCATCTCTCCCTTCTCCTGCCTTTTCAACAGCCACAGGGGAAAAAATGCTATGTATCTCCCAAAGGCTCTTAAGTCAGGATTATTAAATGGTTATTGGGTTGTTTTCTGAAAGCCAAGTGTGAGTGCCAAGAAGCAGTCGAGCGTAGAGGCCAAGCCTGTCTTATGTTATTCTGTGTGGGACCTGCTTCAAAACTTGACCAAATCGTTTTGCAATAAAGTTTGGGCGTAGCATGTTGCGTGTTTAAACGTTTGGCTTTGAGAATGGGTTGGTGGAACACACGAGTGAAGGAATCTGTGAAGTGTTCCTATTTAAAGTGATGAAGTCACACACGGTGTTTGCACGCCTGATGTTTTCAGCGTATAGTTCAGATGAGTGCAACTGATCCAGTTTTTGCACGATCAGAATAATTTATCACAGTTCTGAGAACGTTGGGATGTTTAAAGTATAAAAACAAGAAAATGCAATGATTTGCAAATCTTATAAGTATTTTCTTTACAATAGAACGTAGCAATCATGTCAAAGGTTTAAACCAAGAAATTGGGGTTTTTTTTTCCGCCATTTTGAATTTGATGGCAGCAACACATAAAAAAGAGTGGGGACAGGCAAAACAAAAGGCTGCGAAATGAAGTGGTACAAATTTAGCAAATAAGCTGATAAGTCTAAGAAGTCTGGGTATTGTAGAAGCATTTTAGAGAGGCTGAAAAAAAGATGGGCAGACTTTCACCAGCACCTAAAATTGTGAAAGACTTGCAGTAATCAAGTCAAAGTAAAAGTTTCTTTGTCATATGCACCACATGTGGTACATGTGGTGGAACGAAATTGTGTACACAGGGTTCCAGTTACATCCAACAAAAGTATAAACTGTAAAGAAAAACAGTAATAAGATGATCTAAGATATGAACTAAGATGTTCCTCAGTGGGAAATGGGAAAGACTTTGAATGTCCCATTATCTACAGATTGTATCACCAAAATATTTCAGGAACCTGGACAAGTTTCTGTGAAAAGACCAAGGCGGAAAGTCCGTGTTGGATGCCTGTGATCGTCAGACAGTACTGATTTAAAAACAGGTCTGATTCTGTTACATGTAGCACTACATGATCTCAGCAACACTTCCTCAAATCATTGTTTGCAAACACAATTTGCTGTGCGCATCGTGTAAAGAAGAAGCCATATATGAACTCCATGCAGACATGCAGCTCTCTTCTATGAGCCACTGTTCATTTAAAATGAACTGAGACAAAGTGGAAAACTGTTGTCAGTCTGTCATACCATTCAACATTTGAAATTATTTTTTGACACCACAGAGGCCTGGTCTTCTTTACTAAAGAGAAGAGGGACCATCCAGCCTGTTATAAGCCCATAGTTCAAAACCCTACTCTCTGATGGTATGGGGGTGCATACATATATACCAGTGGAATGGATGGTTGCACCATCAGTGCAGAACAGTTTACACATGTTAGAACATGTTTTCATTTAATGACATATCTTTCTAGGAAAACCCTTCCATACGTATGCAAGACGAACTAGAACAGTGAACACACACAAAACATTCTGCATTTATTACAACACATGGCTTTGCAGTAGTAGGGCACATACCTCTCAACAACTGGAATAATTTGGTGTCCTGAAGCAATAAAATGTCTGACTATAATAAAATTCCTGAGCTTACTTAAAAAGAAATGCTACATCTACCGTTGTGCACCAATAAAATGTATGCCATGTGGTCTTGTTGAATGTAAGCCTCAGAACTGGTGTTATAGACATTTCTTCTCAGACTTTC